CTACATAGTCCCCCAAACTGGATTCAGTCCAATATCCAAACATGTTCAAATGTGTGATAAAAGTTGTGGCAAAATTATGCAATGCATTAACAACTTATAAAGGCTAAACATTGCATGGAGTAGGGAAATTGCTGTGAGGAAAAAAATCCTCCTCAATTCTACAGACATGGCAATGCTTGACAAATTATACGTCTTAGGAGAGGGAGGGTGGGCAGGGTAGGTTCTGGAGACTGGATGGGGCTACAAAAGTGGTGCCCAGAGTCTGAAAATGGCCTATAGGCTGTATTTTGCAAATCTAAAGTGTAAAATCTTTTAAAGAATGTTATACAGAGCCTTGTTTAAGATTATTGCTGTAGTCTGTATTTTTCTGAAATTTTATATCTAGAAATGGAAGGTACAGATTACAGTATCTCCATTTCAATCAAATAGTTCTGTTTTACAGAGGATTATGGATTTACAGGGTTGAAATATATGGATAAACCAGTTTTTATGTGTGCCTAAAATAATTTTTAAAATACAAGCTTTAATATGAGCTTTAAGAAGGGTGAATAGAAAGATTTTCAACAGATATTGAAAACCAGTATAGGAAAAGGGAAAATGTTTAAATAAGCCATGGTTATTTAGAGGAAATAAAGAAAAAGTGTTGTAAGAAAGAGACAAAATGTATTTGAAAGCCTTCATCTGTTTCTCAACTGGAATTCCCCATGGGAAAATCAGCAAACTGATACTGGGAAATTGGTTGAGGGTTAAAAACTAAAAGAAGAGATATACAGGAAGAGCCTAGAGTTAGCCTCAGAGTACAGACCTTAACAAACCTGCTTCAGCAAGTAAAGAGATGTGTTTTTGTTTTGTTTTATTGTCAGCCAGCCAGGTTTTGTTTTGATTTATCTTACTCATTGTTGTCTAAAAGGACATATCAACTGGTTTTTGCCTTGCTGCCTAAGTGAAAGGAATAAAGAATTGATGCACTAATATATTTTCATAAAAAGGGCTGAGAAGGTTAACCTCAGGCCTTCTTTACCTCAGCTATATTTACGCATTGCTAACTTCCATCAGTATGTCAAAAATAATGAGTTCATGGCTCATGCAAGATAGAAAAAGTAGGGGCATTGCATCCTCTCTTATATATTCTTGGGAAAATCCTTCCATTTCAACTCTTTCCACTATACATATACCATTCTGAGACATAGCCAATTAGTTTGAGCAGTTAGTATGAAGAAACTGCTAAGGAGTGTTTATAAGGTCACTTTACAGAATCTCATCCAAGTAGTAAGATATTGTGAGAGAAATGGTAGTTCGAAATCAGATGCCTTTTTTCTTTCTTTCTGGTATTCTTTCTGGTAGTTCACAACATCAAAAATAGAAAAGCACTGAGTACCTTTGGAGTCAGTGTGGCATAATGGTTTGAGTATTGGACTACAACTTTGGAGACCAGGGTTCAATTCCCAGGTCAGCCATGAAACCCACTGATTGACCTTGGGCAAGTCACATGCTCTCAACCTCAGGGGCAGGCAATAGCAAAACCTCCTCTGAATAAATCTTGCCAAGAAAACCCCATTATGTATAGGTTTTCCTTAGAATCATCATAAGTCGGAGATGACTTGAAGGCACACAACACACACACACACCTTTGGAGTAAACATTGCATGGAGAACTTTCTCTGTGTTTTCATTCTCAGTGCCTGCTTGAGCTGAGCATTTGTCTGTTGTTCTTCAGTAGCTTTCACAATTGGTCAAACTAATTGGCTACATGTGCAAAAGCTGGTGTGTGTAAACAGATACATTCTCTGTCACATTCATACATTGCACACACAAACATTTAGACACACATACACACACACTCATGCATATATACAAAGATGTAGTTAAAGGGATTTCTCAACCCAAATGGCAATGTGGGGATGAGAAGTGGGATCTCATCTTAGGACTCCCATCACTTCACCAGCTGTGAACCTTTTTTTTAATCTACCCATGGAAGGAACAAGCTGAGAACAAACATTCATTGACAACATGTATATACAGTGGAAGAAAAGAAGTTATCCCAACTGTGATCCCCCTCAATGTGTTCCATGTCCAAATTAATTAAAGAGGGAGGTGAAGGTACCCCCATGTTTTCCCATATCCAGAAGAATTAGGCTTTGGGAAAGCTTGCTGTTGAAACCAGGGGAAATCTGTTTTCAAATCTACTTTTGAGTGGATAAGTAGGAGAGATGTAGCCATGAGCCAGATGGCAAGACTTCTTTGAAGGTATTTCTGGTTCAAAGCTTGTGCTGCCTGCTATATACCATCCCTCTGTCATTGGAGTGACCATTTGGACTTGGTTGTTGCTTGCTTTCTTGAACTCACCCTTGTTTAATTTCCTTGTGAGTGCTTATGGAGGGCATCATATATCAACATTTATGCAATGTTTTTTGGCAAGAAATTGGGTATGGATTAGGGCTAGTGCAGATTCAAAAATCAATGCTAATTATAATGATTATACTCAACTTTATGCATTAAAGTATGAAAATCCTTTAAAAAGTGGTATTTCAGCTCTTTAATATTACATGTTATATGCATTATCTCAGCAGAGTGCTGTATTTTCTATACTTATAACAATTCATATTCTCTAAGTGGTGCTTAAATGGATGTGAAGGACCTGTGAGCTCAACTATTCCTGGCATTGCAATTAAGCCTTGGATCACATGTCTTCCAGCATTCATGAAATATCAGAGTGATTCCCCCCAACCCCTATAGCCACCTGAATTATTTCAACTCAGTTTTGGAATGAAAGTTTTGTACAGTTTTGCCCTAAAGCCTGATGCATGTGCCATAGAGGTGGAAAACATATTACCAATAGATTGTATGTGGAAAGTACATTGTCATATAGATAAGAAGCCTTAATGGCAAAGATATTATATGGGGAAGAAAAGACTGACAGCCCAGTCTGATAAATTATTCCTTTTTATTTATCTATTAAATGTTAGCCTGGCTTTCCATTAATAATAGTTCCAAAGACAGTTAGCAATAATTAAATACAGATAAAATACAACATTATAAAGATAAGAATACCTCAATTAAAACATAAAAAGGAGGAAGCAAGGAAGGAATGTAGCAGCACCTTTAAGACTGTTGTCATTGTTGTTGTTAACTGCCCTCCAGTCAACCCTGACTCATGGCTACCCTGTGGATGAGGCATCTCCAAACTTCCCTATCCTCCACTGCTAGGCTTAGGTGTTGTAGATTCAAGCCTGTGGCCCTGACTGAATCTATCCATTTGGTGTGTGGTTTTCCTCTCTTTCCATTACCCTCTGCCTTTCCCAGTATTATTGTCTTTTTTAATGAGTTGTGCCATCTCATGATGTCACCAAAGTACAACAGTCTCATCTTGGTTTCTAGGGATATTTCAGACTTGATCTCTTCTAGGACCGATTTGTTTGTCTTTTTTGCTGTCCACAATATCGTCAGCATTCTTCTACAGCACTACATCTCAAATAAGTTGATCTGCTTTCTGTCCACTTTTTTCACTGTCCAGTTCTCACATCCATACATAGTAATGGGAAATACAATGGATTGGATGATTCTAAAGTTAGTGGTCAGTTGTATATCTTTGCTCTTTATGATCTTGTCTAGTTCTTTCATAGCTTCCCTTCCCATTCCTAGTATCCTTTTGATTTCATGGCTGCAGACTCCATTCTGATCAATGTTTGATGCAAGGTATTGGAAATTGTTAATTACTTCAATTTTCTCACTGTCTAAGTTGAATTTATGTAGATTGTCCATGGTCATTATTTTTGTTTTCTTTATTTTCAGCAGAAAGCCTGCCTTTGCACTTTCTTCTTTGACCTTTCTTAGTAATTGTTCCAAGTCTATGATATTTTCTGCTAGTAGTATTCTGTCATCCACATATCTTCAATTGTTGATGTTCCTTCCTCCTATCTTCACTCCTTCTTCTAAGTCTAAGCCTACTATTTGTATGATATTTCCTGTATACAAATTGAACAAGTAGGGTGATAAAATGCAGCCTTGATTGACCCCCCCCCTTGCCAATTGGGAACCATTCCGTTTTCCAGGTTCTGTTTTAACAGTAGCCTCTTGTCCCAAGTACAGACTAACTTTTTAAAAATTAAATACAGATTAACTGTTTTTTTATTTTTGCATGAACTTTCATGGATACAAACTTTTTTCTTTAGGTGCAAAGACAGAGTGATAATAAGTTCTCAGGTATAATGTATATTTATGCAGTTGTGGGAGTGTGATGGAATGTAATCAGATTCAGAAGGATGCAAATCACAATCTTTGTCCTAAATTTTCAATTTTTTTAATTTTACATATTTTATATAAGGTGATACACATCTTTACAGTGGTCAGTTGGTGTTGATGTGTGAAAGCAAGAATTCTGCTTATCAAAAGTCAATTTCCATGGATTCATGACATTCTCTTAGAAGATTCCTTTTGTTTCAGTACAGAGGGCTTTTTATTAATATATGTAGTGTGCCATGAAGCCATTGTCTTTGTTCATACCTCTGTTAATGGGCTGGAATTTGTAAATATTTTTAATCCAGCTGTTTCTCTTTCTAGTCTTGCTTTGTAATTTTCTTGTTCAATGACCACAGCCTTTAAATTCTATACGTACAGAAAGGTTGAAATGTTCTGCAACTGTTTTTTGGGTATTGACATTTTTAATGTCAGATTTGTCCAATGTAGAGTGTAGAAGGGCATTGCTGGCATAGGATGGCATCTATTACCTAAGAGGAAAAGTAAGTAAATGCACCTCTCATATTGTGGGTGATGTTATTGACCCCTATAATATTACTCACACAGTAGATGTGGGATTAAAGGATGCTCAACAATTTTAAAATGCATAGGATTCTCTAGTTCATGTGATATTTTCTGCACTCAAGTTGAACAAGTAGGGTGATAAAGAAATTGCTCATCAATAAAAAGGAAATACATACAATCTTATAGTTCAAATGATATTTTCTCCATAGTATTATAGTATAATATTGATCGCAGAATAGATGCAGGAATTAAAAGTGCTGCTATATTCCCTTCCCCCTCCTTTCCTTCTTTTTTATATTTTACTTGAGCTATTGATGAGCATTAAAACATGCTCATCAATAAAAAAGAAATATTCGGATCTTCTAGTGAAAGATGATTGCAGCCAAACAACAGCTTGAAATCCTGTCTGAATTAAAAAATACCTTTGCATGCCAGTAGAATCAAAACAGTGACTCAGCTGGCCTTGCATACCTCAGAAGAGAGAAAGCCTTCTCTTACATTTTAACATGCCTCTGATGGTGGCAGAGCCAAAGGAAGAGCCTTTCCCAAGAATGGTTGAATCCTGGGCTGGCTCCCAAGGGGGGGTGTGGCCTTTCACATAGCCAGGTCCCAAGCAACATAGGGCTTTATCTATCATAATAACCCAGTACTTCAAATTGCGCCCAGCAACATACTGGTAGCAAGTGAAGTTATTGTAATAAGGGAGTCACAATACTCCCTTACAAACAACAGCATCCAGGTGTTTAGGTTTGTTCTGAACCTGCTAACATTTACAAATGTTATTCAAGCCAAAAAAATCTGGCATACAAATAGGACTACTCTTATGAAAGTGGCAAGGTACATAGTACATTCACCTTCCCATAAGGCTGATTCAATGGAAGAAAGGGACTAGATCCAAATGCAGATTGTAGTTGATATGGATCAGACCAAAAATTCATCTAGTTCAGCATCTTGTTTATTAAAAGCAGTTCAGAAGCAGGCCTCCAAGGCAACAGCCTTCTTCTAGGGTATCAGCAGCATCCACTGTCTCTCAGAATGGAGGCTCTCTGGATATTAATTATAACTAATAGCTTACTGATCAGAAATAAATAGGACAGGAAATCTTTTCATAGGCCATTCAAGGAGAAATGTTAGATTTTAGGCCTACTGTCCAGTTTAGTACAGTTGCTGTTTCAGTGCTGTACCAGCTGGGTGAAAGACAACTGTTTGAAGAGAGGATGGTGGCCTTATCCATATCCCTAGAACTCTACTGTGAGAGTCCATGTTGACAAAGTATACCATATGGTTTGCACTTGCTTCAAGATTATTTTAAAAGCTTATCAATGTTTGCTGCTATTTGCAGTGTGAGATAGGATTCACCAGTTTACAGACAGTTATAACCAGGTAAATAGTTTCAGATAAGTCACTTGCCTCTAAGAGGCAGTGTGATGAGGCAACCTCAACTATGAATGGTCAGCTGTATTAGGGGTCCCCTCTTCTCCAGAACCTCCCATTCATGCTTTTTAATAGGCTTATCCCTGGGCTGGGTGGTGACTTGTAAGTCATACTCCTACTGTACCCCACAAGACCTATCCTCTGCCTAGTCTTCAATCAGACAAGGCACAGCTTCTGGGTCTTTTACAGTCTTTTCCATACTCACTCTTTCTCTTCTCCTTCTTCCTGACTCACCTTTTCTTCTCCTTCCTAATCCTTCCTAG